ATTGATGATATAACATAAAACATAAATTAAAAATAACATAATATAAAAGAAGACTACTCCTACACACTAATTTGCAGCTTACAATTATGCATAAAACAAACAAAAATTATTTGCAAAAATAAAAAATATAACCATGATCTATCAACAAGACTGACGTCGGCTTCAATGTGTGTTTGATGTTTGACAGTACACGACAATATCAAGCGCCTATACAAAAAATCGTACACACTATGTAAATACAATGGTTCTTCATAATTACACAACTTAAGCTGCCTAGTTTATGTTTTTGCTTGCCCTAATAGTACCTAATAATATATAGACTTATAAGTTTTGAAAAAACAAAAACAACGAAACGCATTTTTGCCAACGCAAAATTATCCACAAAAATATTTCTGTCTGTAACCAGCTCAAAAACCTATACTCAGAATACTTAAAAAAAACTATAGGTGGTATACCTATTTGCTTAATGCAACATTTTTTATGTACGAATTCATTTCTAATTCTAAAGCTCATTTTCTTTAAATAAATGTTATTTTGTTATTAACTATAGGAAACATTTTTAATAACACTACTTTACACTATACAAAAAATATTTCAATTTGTATCGGTGTTTGGCTAGTAAATATTTAGCCAACTCAACATGTATTTGACCTAACCAAATTTAGTTGGACCAACTATTTATTTAGTTAATCAAATTAGAAATCCAGTGCGTTCCAATACTATTAACCATAGTTTTAATTGGACTGTCTTTTCTGTGTGATCTTATTTTTTACATTTTTATTTTATTAAATCTTAAACAAATTGAAAATAAATAAAATATGCAGATGGACTTTTAAAACTAATAAGCCTTTTTTTTTGTACGTAAAATTAATTTTCAGAATAATATACCATGAGAACAGCTTTAGCTATTCAAAACTTAATTTGTTAGAATAATATAATATAAAAAATCGAAACCTTTTCCAAACTGACCGCGCTGCAATGTTATTATATAAAAAAAAAAAATACTTGGGTTTGATGGGTAATAAGTGTAAATACGTATATCAGCAATTATGAAAGAGATCCATGGTTGAGGCGGCCAATAAGGTTATACAACTTTTCCATTATGCACATTTTTCACAATTATTGTTGCCGACATATAAAACTGTTATAATTATATTATTATAAATATTAAATAAACAAAAGGTTAAGAAATGTAAAATTTAGAGGGTGGATGCTACCTGAAAGAATAAATGTTTTACTAATTTTATTGTCTTTTAATCCTAAAGGTTATATGATGCGGCCTTCGTCTTCCGAAACGAGCAGTAACGAGCTAATCGACCTCACTAAAGTCTTGGTTAGCGACATAAGCAACCTCTATTTAAGCGACACGTATGTGATAATGTATTTGTACCAATTAACTATAGTACTGGCATGACATTTATCATTTTTAAAGTCGAGTTAAATACAAAAGAAATGCACAAGGTGGGAATAAAAAATGGTTTCGTCGGTAAGTAAAGCAATTAATTAACTATTTTAAAAAAAATAAAATGATAATATACATTTGTCTAAATTATTAATTTCAAAGTTCCCAAGTACCAGTATAATGTCACTTCAAATTCTATGAATGCATTTGTAATTAATGGAGAATGTGAAAAAGATAGCCAGTCTTTGTTAAACAACTATTATGTGAAATATAATAAAGACATTTTCACACATTATGAACTGCGATGGGGTTTTATAACGGTTCATCTTACACAACCATATATTCTTGGTTCTATGAGGTAATAGTATAAATATTTTGCAGTCTTTATAGAAATAAGCCCTCTATTGATAATTTTTTTTAATCATTTCCGGCCAGTGAAATGAGTTTTTTAATCCACACACGGTCTATAAATAATTGATTTTAGCATTTTTCACTCGAACTATGCAAGTTTCGTTTATTATTTCCGTCACAGAGCCTGAGGCTCCAACTTGTACAGAAATATTGTTTATCAGAATTAGGCTTAATTAAATGTTTAGATATATCGATAAGATCCTTAATCAAATATTTTTCTTAGGCTGTAGTTACAACTATACCCCAATTTTTATTATTGAATGTTTTCTAGCTAGACCTGAAAATACAGAGTGATCTTTTTATCTTAATCCACCCAATGTCTCATAGGGTTTAATAAAAAATTGGTTTTTCACAATTTTTATACAGTTTTTTTTTCAATTGTATTATTACGTTTACATTGATTTATTCAACTTGTTATTCACAAGTAAAATACAATTTTATTTTGGCCAAACTATCTATTGTTCGTTGTTAAGCTAATACAATATTTATATTGCCATTTCTGACAGGTTGCTGCTTTGGGGTGACCGAGCTTACCGCTACAAGATTGAAACTTCTCTCTATAATAATTATGATTGGGAAATGCTTGTCGACAAATCTGAGGAGCTGACACGATCTTGGCAGATATTGAAATTTGAACCCAGGCCGATACACTACATTCGTATAACTGGCGTTTACAGTTCAACAGGCGATGTCAGTACTATCGATGTATGTTTTTATTTAAACTTTTTCTAACACTTTTATCGTTGTAGGATTTTCGTTGTGTATATTTGGAGGCTCCCGATCAAGTAACAATAGACCCCAACGTCATTCAAGACAACCGTGCGGTTACAAATACTTTAATATATAACATATGTACTATTACTATGGCGAAAATTGAGAGGGAATTTCTATTTTCAGGAAACAACGAAACAAATTATACTACCATGACAGATGCATCGGCTCAAACTCCAGACGTTTAAACCAAATTCCAATTGTAAGCATATTATTTGTGTTCATTGCACACTCGACACGACTTTAAGATATTCTTATTAAATTTTATTTTTCCGCTTATACACATCTATTCTAGTTTTTTCTTTATTAAGTCCTATTATTTCTGAATAGTTATTAATCAATATCAAGTTTTTTAAGCCACAATCTCTCCATTTTTCGTCATTTTTTTTTATTGAACTATGTGTAATTTATTAATTTTTCAATTCAATTATTTCTTAGTTAATAAAATGTATTATTTATTGTTTTTACATTCCGTTTAAATCAAAAAGAACTTAACAACAAAAAACGTTAACATAACTATTTATTATATCGAAAAATTGCATTGCATTGAAAATGAATAGTACAATATGTACCTACAAGTATAGGAAAAAATGATTTTAAAAATTTTCATTTTTCCTATGAAAATCAATGCCCGACATCATAAGAGTTGATCTTAACCCTGAGTTGATCCTAAAATTATAAAACACTAAAATATATATTAACATCATAATTTTCAACGTTTTAGTATGATACCAAACACTTGATGAATAGTTAACACTCTTTTAAATACACAATCATTGTATTTAATACCTATTGAAAAACGTGGTAATATTTTTTTATCGTCGTTCTGTTATTTTCTATGTTTGATACGAATTAATATTTTAAACGAATAACAGTTTATATGACAATTATTGGCGATTGGCTTTTTGTATTGGTGCCAAACATGTCATAACATGTCATTGTTGTAAATTGTTTATAATTATCAACCGATTTTATACAGATGTTTTGTGTTATAGATAGAACTCCCCATAGTTGTGTGAAAAGTATAGTTATGTATACCTCACATATAATATCTCAATTTGTACAGTATGTTATCTAATCGTATGAATAATATAATGTGTTCAATTTAAGTGTTCGACATTGTATTATAACACTATGCTGATTATTATTTTACGGCCAACTCCAGGTAAATAATATATTTTAAAAATATATGTATTATTAAAATACATTCGAAACTTAGATGTCCAATTTCTTCTTTAACCGAATCTATCAAACTCCAAGCAGATAACCAATTCATACCTCTTGTCTGAAGATAACGCGAAAATTCCTAATAGAATGTTCAGAAAAAAAGTTTTTTTAACATCTCATAATTGCTATTTCCTGGCGAATCAACCACTTTTAATAAAGCAAAAAATAACCTTTTATTTCTCCTTAATAAATGTACCGGATGCACACTGCTGCCTGATCTACAACACCAACATCTTGTGTACTATCAATCTGTAAACTAACATGTTGTTCACCCAATTCTAATTGTATTTTATCTCTTATAAACGTAACGATGGATAAAACAACTTTATTCACTGTAGTTTTAGATAGTAAAGTTACAAGTAAACCTCTACCGCAAGAAACCAGTGACTTTTTTTCCAAATTTTCTTTCCTACGTATGCTGTTTTCTATGGTGGAATTCAAATGCTTATATAACGTAGCATCCCGTTTAGCTGTAAACTGTATTAACTCCAAATAATTTATTTTGTTCAAAATATTATCTACATCATTCCATTTGTATAAACTTTCGGAATTTTTAGAGCCTCCGAGCGATATTTTTTTCTATCTGGTGAGTTTATATGTATTTAGTTTAATGTCACTGGATGTTAACGCCTGAATAGGAAATTGTTTGACAACGTTTATTTTTTAAGAATATTAGCGTTTGGACTAAGCTTGAATTGAGATTAAATTTCCTAAGATGATATAAATATATATTTGTCCAAACGCTCGGCCGGACCTACGCTTCGCATAAATACCATTCGAGAGGAACCATTTAGGCAGTCGATCTGCAAGTCAACTAGTAGACGTCCCTTCACACGGGTCAACATGTCAACTAGAACTTAAGACTTTAATCAAAAACATCATCTTTAAAATTTTGAAAAGCGTCTGTTTATGCGTTCTGTCAAATAATAACAACATTTTGGTAAAATAAGCCACTATGGTTTGTTTTCATTTCGAATCAACTCAATAATAATTTTCTCATCTTCATAGTAAAGACAAAACAAGAATAACACAGATGGCTTATTTAAATGTCCCTCAATTATTACATTTATTGTACATAATTTTACACAATACGAAAATTCTAAAATTTAATTAGATCAACCAAACAAAACAAAAACGAGTTTATATAAAACAAAAAAATATAATTTGCTAATAATATCTTTAATTCATAGCGAGCGTGTAACAAACACAAATATGATAATAACTTAAATATGGTTTAGGCGACCGTAATATCTGTTTCGTTGTCCTCCTGAAAATAGAAATTATGTCTCAATTTTCGTCATTATAATAGTAAAATATATATATAATATACGTTCAAGAATTTGTTACCTCAAGATCGTCTTCGACGTAGGAATCCAATGGTACTTGAGCGGGAGCCTCCAAATATACACAACGAAACTCCTACAGCATAAAAGTGTCATAAAAAGTTTTAAAAATAACATATATCATAATAGTACTGACCTTTCCTTCTGAACTGTCAACGCCAGTAATACGAATGTAGAGTATCGGTCTGCGTTTAAATTGCAACACCTGCCAAGATCGTGTCAGCCCATTAGATTTATTGATAATCAAATCCCAATCCTCATTGTTGGCTGAAGTTTCAATAATGTAACTATATGCTTGGTCGTCGCTACTTTCATTCGACTTGCCCCAAAGCAGCAACCTGTCAAATATGACGAAAATAATTATGTCTTAGTTCAATTATGTATAAGAATCATGAAAAAACAGAGTAAGTAAACAAAAAACTAGTGTAAAATACATTTTTGTTTCACCACTTTCTACTTCGTTTTACTTTTATAATACCGGTTGGTGAAAGATATCAAAACGAAATGATAGTTTATTTATATTTATAATAATACAATTTAAAAATAAACATAGTAATTTAGTTTATAAATTAAAAAAATCATTCCAACGACTGGAAATGATAAAAAGAATTATCAAAACAAGAGATATGTGGGCCTGGACAGCATAGTGAAATGATTGCTATACAAAATTGACAGAATTTTATACAATTACCTCATTGAACTGAGTATATATGGCTGCGTAAGATGAACCACTATAAAACCCGATTCCAGCAGATGATATGTGTATGTGCGATATCTATCGTAGTCGTCAATGAAGGCATTTAATAGCGTTCTTCTATTGTTACTATTTTTACCTTCGATTACAATTGCATCGACAGATTCTGAAGCCACATTATACGTCTCGTTGTCTTTGGGAACTTGGTTGAAATTAATAAATTAATCAAATATATTAAATCTTTTTTTTTTAATTAAAAAATAAGTTACTTCACTGGATTTCTTACCGACAAATCCGTTTTCGATTCCCCACTTGTGCATATCAATTGTATTGTAACGGACATCCCAAATTCTAAAAGTCGCAGTACTGTCGGTTCCAACAATGTGTATATACCGAACTATGCGTGGATGAATCCACAGACGTTGACGCGATCGGCAATTATAATTTGAATAATCTATAAGTCGCTCCCAATGTTGCCCATCTATTGAAACTTCAATGTAATAAGAGTAACACCTAAAGTATCACATAATTTGAAAATGTTTTAGAAAAGGTACTTGTAAAAGAGTAAATAAAATAAAATATTAGGTAGAGAGTTGTGAAAAATACTGTCGTACCAAGAATACAAGATATGAACCACGAATTCTCAATAAAAAAAAAAATAGAATACATTTTTTCAATCTTTGATTAGTTTGTTTGTTTTACTTATAATTAAAATAAATTCTTGACAAAAAAAAAAATGGTTACACATGTATGAATGAAAGTCACGAATATGTTGAATAATATTATTAAATTGCATTTTTTTTTTCTTCAATAATGGCCATTTAAATTAAAAATATTAATAAGTTCAAAACACACCTCATTATTTCAATCCTATGTTCACGCCATAAGGATATATCAACATAGTTTATAATTGATGGAGTATTTAACTTTATTACATTAGTACCGCTTCTGTTATTTAAAACCGAAAAACCCTGAGACCGATGGATAAGATTCACATTGGTAACTGGAGAACTATGAGACTGATAATCAAGACGCACATTGGGTTCTAAAAATTTTGATAATTTAAACCGTCATAATTTAAGATATACAAATATTGATGTGTACAGCAAGCATACTTATCTGTCCCCGAAATTGAGGCTTATCTGTTGACCAAGTGTTACTAAGTTGTATGGCATCTGAAATTATATCCGAACTAACCAGTTTTGATTCCTTAGCCTTAGACAAATCTCCGTTACTCATTAAGTGATATCTGACGGCCGATAAAACATGGATTTCAGTATCACGGTCCAATTCGTTTTGATTATTATTGATCCAGCGACAAACCTCGCGGAATATAACTAATTCGTCGGCATAAAACGTGTCTCGATTGAGAATGTCTTGAAGAGCTCCCTAAAAATATCAATTGTTTCTTAACTTTTACCAACCACGAGCAATATGATTTTTTTGTTTAAAAAAAAAATCATTACAGATGTCAATGACAAAAAATCTTCAGATTTCAATATATCCAAAACGTTGTTTTCAATCAAGTTGAGTGATTCGACTTGGAGCTCCTTGTATTGATAAAGTCGTGCCATAGCAAAGAACGAACAAACATTTTGTACATTAAAACTTCTTTGCAAATATTCGTGCAGCGAAAGTTTTAAGTTTGGAATATCAAAATAATCCGAAATCTTAAGTAATTCGAAAACCTCTCTACCCTAAAAAAAAAATGAGGAATGTGTTTAATATTAGATCAAACACATACTATCGGACTCGCGAAGCAGTGTCGATTATACGTTACCTCTACACCACTTAAATTTATTCGACCAGAATAAATATATTTAAGAATTATTTTAAATAAGGATACTGGTGCTTCACTTATTTGCACATGCGATTCATAGGTTTCTTTAAAATCTCCATACAATAAGCGACTAAAAATAATACAAAATATTACTACAAACATTAAGTTTTAGAGCAAAATTAAAAAACGCTAATAAGTTTTAATATCTACTAGATGTTAATTATACCATTTTTGGGATGATAAAACCATTTGTTTTGACTCTCCAAGTATACAAAGATTTTTAAATTTTAAATACTTCAATTGGCTGACTCCATATGCCACAAATTATATTTGTTTCATAATATTCAAGACAATATTAGGGTTAAAATTAAGTGGGAGTATTTAGAAATATTTGGTCTGATTTTGGCCACAACGAACCAGGAAGTGTAAACTATAATGAATAACAATTATTGTGAACCAATAGTCCTGAAAATTCCATGGGGTGAAGCCAACGAGCCGGTTTGACTTGGAAGACCCCATATACAATTAAATTAAGATTTAATTTATGCCTAACTTAAAACCCTGATTTTCAAAATCTACAGAAACACAAAAATAATAGTAATAGTAATAAAAAAAAATAGTTTTACCCGCCCTGGAAGAAAAACCTAAGGAAATATACTTAAATTAAATACTCAAAAAATTTGCTGCGTGAGGCTAATACACTACGATGGGCGGCCAATTTTTCTCCATTTACATCCAAAAAAACATCTGAAAACCTGGAATAAATTTTGAAATTAATTAAAAATACACATACAATTATAAAGAAAGAGATAAATAATCACAAAAAGGGGAGAAAGTTGAACCTATTTATTTCGACAGGTCAGTCCAATTATTTATATTTAATGAAAGCATCCAGGTATATCATGTTTTACTACTTTGTGTACAACCTAGTTTAAATCAAATATTACACTAAAATTAGCAAAACGGGACACACAGCTTACATTCACCATCTTTTTACAGGAATAACTATTGATTATAAATATAATAACATTGTATTATTAATATTTATAAAAAACGGTATAAAATATTATGATTTAACAGAATAGAATATATATTTGGCTATGGTATCAATAAACTTTATAGAAGATAAACTTGCTAAATTTTGAAAACTATAAAGTTAATAGGAACAAATACAAAATCGCATACCTGACTTTCAAATAGAGGTTGCCTATGTCGCCGACCAAGAATCGAGTGTGGTCGATTTGCTCGTTACTGTCCGCTTTGGAAGACGAAGACCCCGACATATAACCTTTAGGATTAGAACACAATAAAATTGATAAAACGTTTAATTTTATGGATGAGTTTGTATGGTTCATTTTTTTAGGCCACACTTTCTCCTCACTATAATATTATTATACTTTAAAAATAATTTAAATTTTGGAATTTAAAATCTATACTCTAACTTACTTGTTAGTTTATTTTTTAATTTTACATGCATACATTACGATCGTTGATTTAATTTTGAAAGCGTTTTAGCTCATATCATTTTAAAGTAGGTATTAAAAAGTATTAAATTTGCTCTCTAGTAAATGTGAAGCTCTATCCACTTTTAAAAATTTTAGTGTATCGTACATTCATAAAAAAAATACTTATTAGTTTCAAAAGTTCATTTGCATATTTTATTTAGCTTCAATTTTTTTAAGATTTAACAAAACAAAAATGAAACAAATGGTTTTCATCCTCTCAATTTTTACTCATAAGAAAGTGAACTCAGTGATAAGATAACACAGAAAAAATTGCATAGTTGGTACTACTAAAATTATGGTTAATAGTATAAGGATACACTAGTTGGGTCAACTAAATTTCTTGTAAAAGGCGTTGTGCAGAAAAAGTCGTTAATATGTACCCAAAATATGGCAAATTTTTTAATATCGATTTTATTCACTCATTATTAGTCTTATTTGTATTACCTTATTATTACTATTACTTATTAGATATAAGTATTAACCTACTTTGTTTGTTACTCAAAGTTTTGGTTAAAAGATTCCAAAAATAAACGCTCACACCTCGTAGAATAGGTAAATTACAATCCTCTATACCCTAAAAAATAAAAAATAAAAAATTTGTTTTATATTTCTTCATAAATATTTTTTCAATTAACACAAAAAATTCAATTTAACAGATTAAACATATGTTATCGGCCAAACGATCACACAACCCTAATAAAAAATATATTTATATCGTTTAATAACCGGGAAGCAGCGTCGATTATACGTTACCTCTAAAACACTTATCTTTATTCGACCAGTATAAATGTATTCAAGAATGACTTTAACTAAGGTTACTGGTGCATCACTTATTTCCACATGCTTTTTATAGGTTTTTTTACCAACTCCATACAATAAGACTCTATAAATAATACACAATTTTACTACAAACATTAAATTATAGAGTAAAATTAAAAAACGCTACCCTTCTCAGGGGTAAACATGATAGTTATTATGGTCTACTAGTTACTAAGTTTACCGTTTATGAAATGATAAATTGCTTTTTTGTTATTAGAGAGTCCAAATATATAGAACAAGATTTTTTTTTTTAATTAAAAAAAACGTCTATCGGTATGTTCCCTTTAATTTCATAGTATTTTAAACGGCTGCATCATTAAAAATAAGTGGAAGTATTAAAAAAAAAAAAGAGTTCTCATATTAGGTCACAACGAACTAGGATGTGTAAACTATTGTGAACCAATAGTCCTGAAAATTCCACCGGATAAAGTCGATGAGCCGGTTCGACGTGGAAGTTCCCATATAGAAGTTAAAAAAGATTTAATATATGCCTATCTTTCAAACCTGATTTTCAAAAGCTACAGCTGCACAAAAATAATAATTATAGTAATAAAACAATGATACGAATTAACTACCTAAAATATTCGCTGCGTGCGGCTAATACACTACGATGGGCGGGAATTCGTTCTCCATCTACAACCAAAACAACATCTGAAAACCTGAAATAAGTGTTAAAGTTAATTGAAAATAAACGTACGAAAATTACTAATACATTTTGTATATTATCAAACTTAGATAGTCGGCTTTAAATTTTGTCTTACAGTTATTAATATGTTTCAATCTTATCTTAGTTTTTTACCTTATCTTACTTTTAACATACTATGATTTTACCAGATTAGAATATATTTTGGGATAAGGTATCAATGCATTTTATAGAAGGTAAATTTACTAAATTTTGAAAATTATTAAGTTAATAGGAACAAATACAATATCGCATACGTGTTGCTCAAATAGAGGCTGCTTATGTCGCTGACCAAGAATGGATTGTGGTTGATTTGCTCATTACTCCACGTGTTGGACGACGAAGGCCGCATCATATAACCTTTGGTATTTGAACATATTAAAATTTATAAAACATCTAATGTTTTTGATGCGTTTATATGGTTTATTATTTTTTTAATCGTCTGTTAACTTAATATTTATAATAAGATAAATATCATATTTTCATATTTTGGCAACAAAAAATTGTAAAAATGTGCCTAATCTTAAGTTGGTTACTTCTGTTCCCACCCTCGTTAGCTATTTGTAAAATAACTAAGTGAAAATGTACATTTAATAGAATTAGACATCAATACATGATATTCCACATATGTACATATATGTATAGATATCTACCGTCTACCTATCGTTTGTACACAAACGTACGTTGCTATTTCCAAGTACAAACAAGTTCCCATTTCAGATAATCTCTTCTGTAAAGACAATATTTTAATATTTACCAGAAACTATATTGTTTTGATAAAAATAAAACAGGAAATCTATTTTAGATTAAGCAAGTCCAATAATATTTAAATATTTATTCAATTTGTGGTATAAAATATAGTTTAAGGAGTTAACCACGCAAGCAAAAAAAAAATAAAAGGACTTGTTGGTCTTGAGTTTTTTTTGATGATTGATGACATATCTTTAGGGAAGGTGTGTTTTGCATTTAGAGCCATGGGTAGTGGAGAAGAGATAAATTAGTTTACTTTATCTAGGTGAGAGGAGTCCGGGAGGATCGAGTGGGGTTTTAAAACATTGACAAATGTTGAACCAGCAACTCGACCTTTTCTTGAGAAGAGCCGGCAAGGCTGTTGTTTTGATGTTGAAGGAGGGCCATTAATTGTTCTGTGTCTAAATAGTGATTTAGTTTTCCACCATAAGGAACCATTAATTGGTGACAGTATAACCTTATAGGCCGCCTCAACCCCTATCCCTATCTTAATTAATGATATATTTACACATTTCACTCATAAAACCAAAGTACTTTTTCTTAATGAAATAACATTTCAGCGAGGGGACGTTTAAAATAATTGTTTTAATAGGTTAAGAAGTTCTGAAGGTATGCGACCTATGTAAATATTACCCACTACAGCTGCTAAGCAATGTTTAGCAAACTTTATTAGACTTTTGGTATTTTGGCCAAATGCGACGACGACTTGAGAGTGAGTTTTTCAAAATGGCTCAACTTATTTTGAACAAATTTATTTTAGCATTACGGTTCTGCAAAACTTCCAAAGTTCTAAAATGTTTTATTTAAGTCTTTCATGATTTTTTTTTAATAAATTGGATTTCAGTGCGGCTGTGTTCGGCAAGTTTAGCTTTGTTAACTTATCTTATTCTGAAAATGATTGTATAAACAAGAAAAAGAATAAATACATTTTGGTCTAAGTTTAAGTATTCCCAAAACTTTAACGACTTTTCATTGTTTAATGATAAAATATAATGAATTGACAGTTTACAGTAAAATTGTACCCAAAGTCGATAAAATTCTGAATCTTACCAATAAAATAACATACAAATTGAAATATTTATATGTTTTTGGGCTGTTCGCAAACAAAAAATTGTGTGGACAATATTACGTAGACCAAAAAGAGAGGAATTATTTAACTATTAATAAAATATATTATTTACCTGGGGTTGGCCATAAAATAATAAATACTGAAAAAAAAATCAGCATACTGCTATAATACGTGTTCATATAATATCAAATGTTGACCACTTTAAACTATGCACCAAAGAAAAACCACGTCATTGATACTGAACACCAATTTAAATATGTAGACGTGTTACAATAGCGTACAATATTTTTCTACATGCGATGGGATATTATGTTTTAAATGTATCATTGTGTTTACATAGCGTGTACGATTTTTTGTATAGGCGCATGTTATTGGCGTAAACTGTCAAGCATCAAACACACATTGAAGCTGACGTCAGTCTTGTTGAAGATACTTAAATGAGCCATTGAAAACAATATTCCCTTATTTTTAGATCATAAATTACGGGGTAGGACGTGTTACTTTAGACTAGACTACTATTAGGACGTTAAAATATTTCCACCAGTGTAAGACTTTAGGCCAAACTAAAACCGTTTACACACACAAGTAAATGACAACATTTTTTTTTCTATAAGCTACGTTTACTCACACTTTCCTTAGTCTTAAACAATTTACCCCACTTTGTTTTTTTGTAATTATGTCTGTATACTAAAAATATTGTTATAAAATTGTTTTGGCTTTAACAATGATTTTTGGATGTTACCATTTTTTGTCAAAGATGAAGTAACTGTTATAAAAAAAAAACGTTATCAGGATTTCATTATTAAAATATTACAAGTGGGGGGGCCAGGGAAATAAACCTACCTCGAAAGATGAAAATGAAAATTGTAATTTGTTAGTTCAATTGACGTATGTGTTTTTTTTAAACTTTTTATATAACTTAAAATTTTTCTGTTGTGTAATTTGGAGGCTCCTTATCATGTAACATTTGATTCCAATTTTGTTCAAGACGGTCGTACGGTAACAATTACATTAATGTATCTATTTTCTTACAAATCTGTCGCAACTGACTGGCTCGCTTGGTCCCTTGTTTTGCGATTAATGTGTCCCGCACCCTTAAGAGCACCATGTTATCTCGGCCAGGGCTGTCGTGTGACCAATTATTATTAATCATGTTACATTATTCATCTCCACAGATTTGTCAGTTCATTAGCATAGGCGCAAATAGCCTTTGGAGTGATTGTAGTTTAAACCACTTAATATCGAGTAATAATTATTCAGAAATTCCTAAAACTTAACAGGGCTTGGTAAGGACAAAACAATAATGAAACAGATGGTTTATTAAAAGGTCCCACAGTTATCACATTTATTGTATACAATTTTATATAATTTTACTAAATAAGATAATCATAAAATTGTATTACATTAATCGAATAAAACAAAAACAAGTATGCATAAAAGAGAACAAAATTATTTGATAATAATATTTTTAATTCGTAGCAAGCGTGCAACGAAATCAAATAGGCTTATAATTCAAATTTGGTTACTGGAGTTTAGTTGGCCTCCTGAAAACAAAAATCATCGTTCAATTTTCGAAATTATAATGGTATGAAATAAAAAAAAATAATTAGATAAACTAATAATAACGGTTATCGAATTTGCTGTGACTAACCCGTCATTTGTTACCGCACGATCATCTTCAACGACGTTGGAATCTAATGTTACTTGAGCGGGAACTTCCAAATATATAACACGAAAAACCTACAACATATAAGTATTATTAAAAGTTTAAGAAAACACATAAACTAATTGTACTCACATTGCCTGCTGCACATTTAACGCCAATAATACGAATGTAGAGTATCGGCCTGGGTGTAAATTTCAATACCTGCCAAGATTGCGTCACCTCATCAGATTTATTTACAATTCTCTCCCAATCCTCATTGTCGACTGAAGCATCAACAGTGTAACTGCAGGCATCGTCGCCCCGAAGCAGCAACCTGTCAGTTATGGCAACCATAATATTGTCTTAGTTTCATAATGAATAAAAATCATAAAATGTCCAAATTGTTTTTGCTTTTATTAATTATTAGTAAAATATTTGATTGAATTATTGTTTGTCTTATGTGTGTCTGATCAGCATAGTGAAAATATTGGTATAAATGATTCAGAACTAGCGAGTTCATAGCAAAAACAACTGATCCAGAACTTGGATATTGCATGGCATTACGTTGAGAGTAACATATACCCTCAATAAGCTTTAGTAACCTTACCTCAGCGTCCTAATAAAATAAGTTGTATCTTTAAGAAAAGTCATTTGTTTAGATTGCGTAAATTTAGATAATGATTAAGTATAAAATCTGTCCAAAGGTAGTAAAATGTTTATAATTTAAGTATTTTTTTCATTTATACTTTTAATTGGTTACATTTAAATTGATAAGACAAATTAGTTACAGATAAAAATTGTGCTTGTTATTTGATTATTTTTCTTTATGTTAAATAATAACTATTTTTATTTAAATATTACTCTAATTGTTCACCCATAGATGTGAACGCATTATATTAAGTATCAACAGTACAGGACACATTAATTGCGAAGCAAACAAGCCAGTCAGTCTCTATAGATTTGTCAATACATTATCATAGGCACAAATAGTCCAACATATTTGGAGATATTGTGGTTTAAGCAACTTAATATCGAGTAATAATTATTCAGAAATTCCTAAAACTTAACAGGGCTTGGTAAGGACAAAACAATAATGAAATAGTTGGTTTATTAAAAGGTCCCACAGTTATCACATTTATTGTATACAATTTTATATAATTTTACTAAATGCGATAATCATAAAATTTTATTACATTAATCAAATAAAACAAAAACAAGTATGCATAAAAGAGAACAAAATTATTTGACAATAATATTTTTAATTCGTAGCAAGCGTGCAACGAAATCAAATAGGCTTATAATTCAAATTTGGTTACTGGAGCTTTAACCGTTTAATTGGCCTCCTGAAAACAAAAATCATCGTTCAATCTTCGAAATTATAATGGTATGAAATAAAAAAAAATAATTATATAAACTAATAATAACGGTTATCGAATTTGCTGTGACTAACCCGTCATTTGTTACCGCACGATCGTCTTCAACGACGTTGGAATCTAATGTTACTTGAGCGGGAACTTCCAAATATATAACACGAAAAACCTACAACATATAAGTGTTATTAAAAGTTTAAGAAAACACACAAATCAATTGTACTCACATTGCCTGCTAAACATTTAACGCCAGTAATACGAATGTAGAGTATCGGCCTGGGTGTAAAGTTCAATACCTGCCAAGATTGCGTCAGCTCATCAGATTTAGTTACAATCCTCTCCCAATCCTCATTATCGACTGAAGCATCAACAGTGTAACTGCAGGCATCGTCGCCCCGAAGCAGCAACCTGTCAGTTATGGCAATCATCATAATGTCTTAGTTTAATTATGAATAAAAGTTATAAAAAACACTTTATTTTACTAGGTTGGCGAAAGAAATCATAGCAAAATGATAGATTATAAAAAAAAATAATACAATTTAAAAAACGAATTAAACATGGTTCTAGAAGCCTACAATAACTGATCACAATAAAATCCTATTTATACTTTTATTACAATAATTGTTTTAAAGCTTGGTATTATTTTTTAATTTTTTTTTTTTGTTAAAATTATTCATTTACATGGCCATTGCCTATTTGTTTAATGAACTACAGATCAATTTTTATTAAAAAAAAAAAAAACATATGTTACTACATTTTAAGAAATAAATTGGAATCAATGATCTTATCGAAAAAAGAAATATTTAATAAATATCATAATACTGATAAATACAATTTTTTACGGGTTGGAGACTTGGGCTCTGAGAAGGAAATAAGAAAGGAGACTTCACATTTTTGGAGAAATTATTTATAGATGTGTATGAATTAAAAAATTCATTCCGACGACTATAAGTAAAAATAGAGATTGCCCAAAGAAGGCTTATGTGTGTCTGATCAGCATAGTGAAGAGATTGGTATAAAAATTGCAAGATATTTATACTGTTACCTCATTGAACTAAGTATATATGGTTGTGCGAGTTGAACCACTATACCACCCGATCCCAGCACATGATACGTGTATCTGTCCTTTCTAGCGTTGCTTTCATTGTAACTCTCTACTAGCGAACCATCATTAGAGTTATTTTTACCTTTGATTACAAAAGCTCTCAAATATTGTGAACTGACATTATAACCGATCTTAGGAACTTGATTAAAATAATAAATTAAACAAATATAAATGAAAATTTTTATCATTTTTATTTAATTAAAATATGAGTTACTTCATTCGCTTTCTTACCGACTAATCCATTTTTTACTTCCACATTATGCATATCTTCTGTATTGTACGTAACTTCCAAAAATGAAAAAGTCTCATTAGCAGTGCTATTGGTTCCAACTATGTGTATATACCGAACTAGGCGTGGATGAAACCACAAATATTGAAATGTTCGACAATTATAATTTGAATGATCTATAAGACGCACCCAATTTTGCCCATCTATTGAAACTTCAATATAATAAGAGAAACACCTAATTTGTAAAAAAGTATATAAATTGAACGATAGGAAAAGATTTGTGAAAAAAGTATTTGAATAATAAAAGACAACTATGTTATAGACAACTAATTATTTATAAACAATAAAAATATAATATTCATTGTCAAAATGGATTGCTTAAAATAAAATTGAAATAATATTTTGACAAATAAACGTTTTTAAAAAAAGCGAACAAAATCATAAAATCAAAGTTATAAATGTTTAGATTTATTATTCCACTACAATTTTTGTTAAGCGACGGCCCTTTCAATAAAAAAATATTTATAGTTTAAAAACATACTTTAATTCATCTATTGTCTGATAATACCATGACGTTATTTCCATATAGTTTATAGTTGATGGAATATCCAACTTTAACATATTAGTACCTTTGTCATGGTAATCGGTATGTGGAATACTCTTAGATTTATATTTAAGATTTTCATTGGGTTCTAAAATACAACATAATTAAAACCAACATAATTTGAGAAATACAAATTGATGTGTACAGCAAGCATACTTAGCTGTCCTCGAAATTGAGGCTTATCTGTTGACCAAGTGTTTCTAAATTTAATTGCATCTGAAATTATATCCAAACTAACCAGTTGTGATTGCTTAGCCTCAGACAGTTCTTCGACACTCATTAACTCATGTCTGACAGCTGATAAAACATTGATTTTAGTACCACGATCGAGTTCGTTTTGGTTTTTCTTGATCCAGCGACATGCCGCACGGAATATAAATAATTCGTCAGCATAAAACGTGTCACGATGGAAAATATCTTGAAGATTATCCTAAATAAAAGTTATTTCTTATGTTTTCAACTAACACGGACAATATATATTTCTTATTTAAAAAAGACATTACGGGTGACAAAGACAGAAATTCTTCAGATTGCAATACATCAAAAGCGTTTTCGTCTATAAGGTTAAGTGATTCATCTACGAGATCCTTGTATTGATAATTTCGAGCCAACTCAAGAAACGAACATACATTTTGTACAGTAATGTTTTTTTGCAAAGTCTTGTGCAGTGAAACTTTTAAGTTTGAAATATCAAAAAAATCCGAAAGTCTAAGTAATTCGAAAATCTCTCTATCCTAAAAAATAAAGATTAAATAATGTGTTAATTCTTTTATCATTAATAGATACACATACTATTAGACAAACGGTCACATAACCCTAATAAAAATTAGATTTGTGCCATTTAATAACCACTAATGTTCTACGATTTTTTGTTACCTCAATACCACTTAAATTTATTCGACCAGTATAAATATATTCAAGAAGGATTTTAAATAACGTTAATGGCGCGTCACTTATTGTCACCTCCAAATCATTAGGTTTTTTAAATTTTCCATAAAAAGATACCCTAAAAAAAATACACATTATTACTACTAACATTAAATTATGGAGTAAAACGATAAAAACGATACCCTTTTCAGGTGTGAGCATGATAATTATTATGATTTACTTAATATTAAGTATACCATTTTTGAAATGATAAAAGCAATTGTTATTGGAGAGTCCAATTACATAAAACTTTTTTTTTTAATAATTTTAAAAACGTTTATCGACATGTTCCCTTTATTTTCATAATATTTAGGACAGCTGCATCATTAAAAATAAGTGGAAGTACTTCAAATAGTAGAGTTCTCGTTTTAGATCATAACAAACCAGAAAGTACAAGTTAATAAACATTTAGTTAATGCCTAACTATCAGGTGTAAGCTACAAGAAAAAAACAATAGTAATAAAACAAATATATATATTATATCATATTAAATGATAAGAATTAAATACCTGAAATATTCACAGCGTGCGGCTAATACACTTCGATGGGCTGGCAATCGTTGTCCATCTACAACCAAAACAACATCTGAAAAACTGAAATAAGTCACTAGTTTAAAATGGAAAATTATATAAGCAAAGAATAATTTAGGGTTAAAAGGAGATAAAGAAATGAGATGGGAGAAATGTTAAACCTATTTATTTTGACAGGTCAATCAAATATATTTTTCAATAATAGCTTTCTTATAAGCATGAATAGTTCATAATTAAAATGCATATCATATTTGTCACTTTGTGTACTACCTACTTTAAATCAGATTACATTTTTTAGACTGAAATTAGCAAAAAAGGACACGCTTACAGCTTACTTTAACAGGTAGAACACATAACTTTAACTGTATACAAGATAAATATGCTAAATTATAAAAATATTATAGTTAATAGGAACAAACTAAATATCACATACCTCTCGCTTAGGTGGAGTTTGCGT